AAACCTGGACGCCGCAAGAGACTACCGTTAGGGTCTGACGCTCCCCCCAAGGACAGCGTTGGCAACAAGGGACAACATTGGTAGCTGCAGCTGTCGTTTGTATGTAAAGTTGTCGTTTACACCTCATGCATCAACAGCGTCAAGAGTCTGTGGCATATGGTCCACAGCAGGTTGGCGAACCCATGTCGCAGGTCCACCATGGATCCTTGCATTACGCACAGGCAACTATCCACCAGGGGATCACAAGGGCTCAAGAAAAATCTAGATGTAGTTGTTCGTGTTTTACTCGTGCGAGTAAGATGTGCCACGCGCATCGGCGAACATTGTTTCTAAGTAAGGGCGCGAACCCATGTCGCTTAGCTTGCACACGTTAAAATACACTTACATGTGATTGTCCACATGTCCGTTACAAAGTGCACCACAGTATCAAACCTAACTTTTTGCGTTTGCGCACTGTCGTGCGACAAAGATGCGCGGTGTGCATCTGCGAACCCTGTTACTGTGGAAGGGTGCGAACATGCATCGCACGCTCTGCGCACAGTTCAACTTACGTATAAGTAAGACGGGCAGGGGCCTTCATATCACAATCTTTTGCGGGTAGGGTTTTTTGTGTTTTGATCTTTGTCGTGCGACAAATATGCGCGGCGCGCATCGGCGAACATACCTCTTTGGGAAGGTTGCGAACCTATGTCGCACGCGTTGTGTTTTTCTATGGTTGCTTTGACGGCCACCATTTGGCGTGTTTCACTTTGACTGTAGAGCTCTCAGCCTAGACAAGTCTGCAGCAGGCTCCATGGATAGAAAGTTCCAAGCTAGCCTCCGCTACCAAAGGCCACACCCCCCTTGGCCCCACGCTTGCTTCAAGCACCAGACGTTGGACATAGACATGCGCAGTTTTGCTTGACAAGCCCACGGTGCAAACGTCAGGGTGTTCTCACTACATGGTTTTTTCCAAACATCTCTTGAGGAGCCGCAAGATGTGTACATATCTCTACAGGGAATATATGTTGAAGGCATGTGTGTGTGCGCATTGTCCACTCCACCTTGCGCCCATGGCCCCATGGGCTGACAGCCGCTGAGCCGCTTTTCTCAGGACCCCACCGAGTTCACTCTGCTGTCCTTCCACCGCTGGCTTAAGTTTAAGATAAGCCGCTGGTAGACACGTAAAAGAACTGTGGACGAACTGCATTTCGTTGCCACTTGTTTGATGTAGCCAAGGTAAGATTCATCTTGCCAATTGGCAGTGAAGCGCGGGTTCACCCGCGTTCTCACCAAAAAACAAACCTAATTCTTCAAGATAGTGGTGTTTTGGCCTTGGAAGCCACCTTCGCACCCCTACCTCTAAACATGCATCCCTCAGCCCCTGCAAATGCAACAAGTGTTGCGTAAAAAGGTCTCGGATGCTTGAAGCTTCCCCCCCTCAGAAGAATGATGTCAGCGTTGTCCATGATTTGCACTGCTGTGGTGATGGACCACAGACATAGAGCAGCCCCTTGAAGATCTGGAGCCTTAGATGTTTGGTTTCACCGCGAAACAAAACTTGCAAGATCGAGTTGTTGTGAGTTCGCATGCTAATGTGTAACAAGTAGCCCCCCGTTGACTCCGCATATTCTACAGCTTTCAATGTCATGTACCACAAAATGACCTTGATGTGGGCAGCTTTCCAACACCGACCCAAAGTTGGCATTTGCTTCGGAGTGTTCAACCCAGTGTTTGCTTCAGTGAAGAAGCATCTGCGGACAGCAATCCTTAGGTCTTCAACAAGGGTAACGAGTCTCTGGGTATTGAACCAAAATTCACAAACATGTGTGGCGCCATACCGCCATGGATCTTTTGTCGTCGAAATTCAGCATGCATCTCCAAACTAAGCTGCCGGAGCTTGTCCGCCAGTGACATGTGGGGTCCACCAAGAAGGCCGTGGTCCAACCAGGTCGCTAAGAGGCAAGAGATCAGGTCCCTTGCTGTGCCCAAGTAAAGGATGTGTAAGATGTCGTGTAGGCAGGAACCTAAGTTCCAACCTGGAATCACATGATATGGAGAGATGGTACTGGTGGTTCTCCTGTACGTGGCGTCATCTATCCTTGTAAGATGACGCGGGCGATCCAAACGAAAATCATCATACCGCATGTCTGGATTTCCACTCTTTGCACATTTTTGGGCCACGCACAATTCACAAATATAGGTGCAGCTGTAAAAGCGGTCGAACAGGTTGCATTCTTGCCTGGCCTTGGCATCGTATCTAGATCCCCAATACGCCATCCTGACTGACATGTCATGACATATCACATTGAACAAAAACGCCATTGCAAAAAAACATGAACATTAACTGACAGATCTCCACTGTCCTCCAAGGGGTGCTGAACTCTTTTCCCCTTCGTTTGTATCTCCAACTGTTCTGGGGGAACTCTTCTCCATGAAATCCGGAAGATGGAAAAACACCACTGCTTCCAATCTTGATTGACCACGCCAGGAGCTTGGCCACCACTTCGCGAACGGCATTTTTCACCTGGCCGGGCTCCACAAGGGAGACAGAAACGAAAGTCGTGAGCTTGCCTTCTTTTTCTTCATAGACTCATGAGGTAGGATGACAATCGGGAACTTGCAGTCCCAAACCTATGCGACAAACACAAACACCCACAAGACAAGACATGATCGTTTGTCGATACACCAGTTGCTGCTTTGAAACGTCGCCCTGTGCCATGATACTAGACAGACTCCAAACATTGTATTCAGAATCTCGATAGAATTCAGCTCCGTCCATGTGCATCGTCATTGGTATTGTGCCTCAATAACACTACAGGCTTTGCTCTTACATCATTGGTAAACCATTGTAGCTGCTACCCGGTAAACTAGGGCTAAGACGGTCTTTGCACAGCTCCCCACTGGCAAAAGCTGGGTGAGATGCCCACTCAGGACATTTCAAGCAATGACCCCAGAATTCTTCAATGGCTCCTTTGCCCCGGTCACCAATCATAGATTTTGCAAACTGGCGTGGGTGCAGAGACATGGTTGTTTTCATCAAAGGGCGTTGACTAAAATACTCTAGCTGACAAAAGAACAAAGTCTAGCTTGGACTGGCCCTGCACGAGCCACAGCATCAAAGATTTCGTGCGGTAAGAGAACTGGGACATCGACCAATTGAACCTCCATGGAGTTGATCACCTCATCACGCTGAACACATTCTGGGGCACTCCAGGTTTGTCCACGCACGCTTGTTTGGTTTGTACTCAGGCCATGACCTGAAGCGGTATTTTTGCGAAATAGACTTCCAGTTCAATGTTGTGCAAGTTTTTTCATCCACGTATGTAAGTCGCGCTCCTCTTTGGAGCTGTTCCTGCCGAAATTGCCAAGACTGGCAAAAGCCTGGATTGCCTCTGGAGCTGGGCCATCCAACAACTGGGCTTGGGCGATTGACACAACAGTATGGACGTGGGCTTTGCCGGATCCAATCATACCTCACAAAGCTCACTCTTCTCTAAACGGTGCTACCAAGCTTGATGCAAGAGGAAGCTCTCACACTATTCTTGAAACAAGGGTCGGATGAAATGCTCAGCTTGATTATTGAACTCGTACTTCTCATACCGACCTCGCCTGAAGGTCCTTGATCCCAAGGTCACCCAAGGTCTGGACTCAAGCTTCTCTCAGGTGTGGACAAGGAGCTGCTTGTGGACAGCATGATCGTTGTGCAGGCCTGCGTTCCATGGCCAGGGTAAGATGTGACTTCAAAAACAATGGGCCCCAAGCAATCTAATCCAAGTGTTGGGTTGAAAGGGTTGGTCAGGCATTGAGCACTGCAGGCTAGCATTTTTTCATCTGGCTTTCCAGAGTTCTGCAGCGATACCCCTCGCTGTCACTGAAAGTTGACTAAGCTGACTACGCAGAAGAAGCGGTGGTTTTCTTGTCACCCCTCCTGGCAGAAGCTTTCGCTTTTGCCTTAGCCTTGCCCCTCTTCTTGTCCGTCAATCCAGAAAGCATAGCCCTCCCAGCTGCCTGGCAGGGGCTTGGTTTTGAACACTCTTCGTAACGGTGTGATTTTGTAGTTTAATGTGATTTAACTATAGAGTCTTAAACAACATGAATAGAACTGTTTGGGAATCTTGCACCTTAGCCTTCTCATACCAATTGAGCTGTTCCTTGCACTGACCGAGCAAGCCCTTGATCTTGGGTTCGCTCAGAACCTTTTGGTTCATGAGCTCTTGAAGGTCATGGTACAGGGATTCAGTCTTGCTCGAAAAGGTCATCAGCTGGGCATTGAGCTCACCCCATAATCCACGTGCTTGAGGGAAAGCGCCATCTTCCTTCCATCAGCAGACTTTGTCAAGGTCTCCGCCATGATTTCAGCCGCCAACCTTGATTGAAGGTATTGAGAAATCAACCCTGGGGATAAGGATGAGTTCCAAGAGTTTAAACACCCAACAGGGAGACAACTAAGGGTCAGTCTCCTTGAAAGTCTTTGGCTTAACTTCTTTGGCTTCTTCTTCCTTTTTTTCTTTTGGGAGGCTTGGCACTGGTCACGTTTGCCTTAGCCACTGTCTCCCACAAGGACTTCTCACCATCGGCGTCGGCAGCGTCTACACCAGGAAGTGCGCCCTGATGGAGAGGGCCGTTCTCGTCAGTCAGGGCAGTAAGGGTAGCGTGATCCGGGTTGGTCTTCCCCACCAACTTCATTTGCTCCGCGGTGATATCTTCATGTTCGATGCGCTTAGCACGCCCGCAATAATAGTAGATCTCCTGTGATGGGACGGAAAGGGTCAAGGCCAGAACGAACAGAAGAAGTGGGGGGGGTTACATTATATATTCAATATGAATAAAGAGCTATAGTATATACAAATATGAAATAAGAATGTTTACAAAACTTAGTAGGAACACTGCATGGGTCAATGCCCCACCTCGTCGTCCCCCGGGAAGTCTTCGTCCCAGTACCACATCTTCTTTTGCTTGAGTAAAGAGATCAGTTTCTCCGCTTTGTCCTTGGGATACTTCTTGAAAATGTCCCTTGCCTTAATCCCCTCTCGCCCTGAGCGAAAGCGATTGATGCCCTCCACTCGCCTTTCAACCACCAGCGCTACCCTGAGCTGCGAAAAGGTTGAACCACTAGGACCATTAGGATTGTGCGCAAAAGAAACTCCAAAACAAAATGCTCTTGAACAAAATCAAAACGAGAAGCTGCTCCAAGTTCTTCCCGCTTTCGAGCCAGATGTTGAAGAGGTCTGTTTTGTCGCGCTGCAGGTGTGAAGTCAGGCTGACAGGGAACTTCTTGCGATTCTCGCACTGGCGACTGAAGGTGTCCCAGTCTTTTTTGTGCGACACACCTTGACACTGCCAAGGAAGATTGAAAAAAATAAAGCTTTCTTGGGAAATTAGTCCTTGCTAAAGAACCCTTCAAAAACTGTGTCTCATAGTAAAATGCAAGGGACTGTTTGCCCGCTTTTTTGGCACATCTTCCGCTGCGTTGGAACCTTCTTTGATGATGTTGCCGGGGTCTGCGGTCTCCTCTTCTTTGTCATCCCCCTCTTCCTCCTCATCCTCTTGTGATCCCTCTTCATCTTCTTCCTCACTTTCTTCGCCCTCATCTGAATCTTCACTTGAAGACGAACCATCACCTTCCTCTTCCTCGCTGTCTGAGGGCTGTGGCTCCACCTCTTCCGCTTTGCTTTCCTCTTCCTCAGACTCCTCGTGTTCTTCGTCTCCTCCCTCATCCTCCTCCTCCTCCTCATCACCCTCCTCCTCTTTCTTTTCTGAAGCTTCTTCTTCTCCATCGTTTTCCACCTCCTCTTCTGCGTCGTCTGGCAATAGGATCAATTGATTGACAAGATCTTCAAACTCCGTTTCTGTCTCTGTATCATCGCCTTCCTTTGCGACCTCCTCCTTTGCCTTCTCTGCCGTCTCCTTTGCCTTCTCTGTCTTCTTCTTTGCCTTTGCATCTGCCTTCTTCTTTGCTTCCTTCTCTGCCTCTTCCTCTGCCTTCTTCTTTGCGCGCTTCTCTGCATCTTTGTCTGCCTTCT